TGTGTTACACCTGTAATTCTCATCTGAGGTTGTGTATAACTGGAATTCTCATCTGATGTTGTGTTACACCTGTAATTCTCATCTGAGGTTGTGTACTTGTAAATCTGAGGTTGTGTATAACTGGAATTCTCATCTGAGGTTGTGTACAGGATGCGTACACCTGAGAATTTCGCCTAAGGTTGTGTACACCTGTAATTCTCATCTGAGGTTGTGTATACTTGTAATTTTCATCTGAGGTTGTGTATAACTGGAATTCTCATCTGAGGTTGTGTACAACTGGAATTCTCACCCGAGGTTGCGTACACCTGAAACTTTCACCTGAGGTTGCGTACACCTGGAATTCTCACCTGTTACAGAACATTGACACGGGTTTTTTGTTTTGTTTTAGTGTTTATTATTTCCGTTGCGTTGTGTCTATGGTCCTCGGCTACACAGCCCTCATAGGAACACAATGTCTGCTCATTCTACCACTCGCGGTCTCTCCTTCACTCTCGATATTCGTTCCTCGAGTGTCCCTTCCAAACACCTCCCTCAGACACAAGTCTGGCTATTTTATATCCGAAAATAAATCGACAACTTGAGAACAGAGAGAAAACACTGTCTAACTGATGCTTATGTTCCAATTATCAATCTTCTGTTGATCATATATTATTAACTTTCACACGGACTCGCAGTTTTAATTTATAATCGTTGAAATCATTAACTTGCCGCTGTTGACCACTGTAAGAGAGGTTGAAAGCTTCTCTCACCAGTTAGATTGCAACTATCTCCACGGACTATTAAGATTAATAATTGCGATTAATGATTACAGGTGTCCATTCCACAATAACTTAATCAGAATTTAATTGGAGGAACATTTAGAATACAATGAATCTTCTCTCTGCTCCACTGTAAACATGCTTGGTTGAAATATATATATATATATATATATCACATTCCCACAACCAAAACACAATATCTCATACCACCAACAATAATCAATTGTTATTAATTAATAATCTTGCATTTTACAGCTATTTTGTCCCAATATCTTAACTGGAGTTCTAAGCTGTTCTCTGGAAAACGGACATGAGTGACGTCATAGGGATTTTTCCCGATAGTCTGTTTTTACATCATTCTCATTCCTGCTCGCGCGAATACATCTCTGTGTCATGTTTCAATTTTTTTATCATAATTTTCACATTTCGTGCACATATCCACTCCATTGCATTCTGATCTCCGAGAGTTACTTCCCTTCGTTTCACCACGTCGGTTGCACTAAATCCTAGCGATCAGCCTGGCAGACGATGAGGGATGACAGTGCTTCATTGAGAATGCCCATTAGTGTATAAAATCTTAGCAATTAAAAAAAATCTAGATAAAAATAATTTGCGTTTGAATTTCGCTGATATTTACGTTTATCTATTGTTGTTGTGACTTTAATGTTTTTTTCATATATTATCTAAAAGTGAAAATGACATTAAACCGAATTATCATCAGACGTTCTATCGACTTCCGGTTTCGATGAACTCCAAGCCGATATATGATACTCGATAAACGTCAGAATATTTCGGACTAATATAACATTTGTTACATATTTATGTAGAACCAGGAATAGTTTTACTTTCATCAATTTAGAAAATTACTACACAAAATGTACACTGTCGGTACTGTGAATAAGTTTTGATCTGCCATATCAAAACATCAATATATCTACTGTAACCTCTGTTTTAAAGCATACAGTCGTGTACAATTATTGTATAGAGTAACTACCATTGCTCCATAGCAAGTTTGCTTCAGTAAGATTTATGTCTAGTTTCAGTTTTTTTTTTTTTTCTGATTGTGGTATAATTGCTAAATGATGATAAGAAATGAAAACTGCTTTCAACGAAACTGAAACTACATAGTGGACTTTCCTCTAGATTTTAATATAGAGATGTTGTTTTAAATTCTTAAATTTAAGTCGTAATCTTACATGTGCTATTTGAAGGAGTCTGCTATCAATGTTAAAGTAATGAGGACTACTACCTTATCTTTTTGTAGAAAAAACTTTGAATTTACTGACAGACGGATTTTTACGAACGTCTTCAGGTAAAGCGTTCCATAATTGTATTGAGGAATTTACAAATAAATCTTTATATAACTGAGTTCTACAATTAATTGAAAGTAAATTATTTAATTTTTAGTAAAATGACTATCGGGTACTTTATCTGGAACTAACCAGAACAGACAAGGACAGTGGCGTTTTCTTGTGTTCTGGAACTAACCAGAACAGACAAGGACGGTGGTGTTTTCTTGTGTTCTGGGACTGAATTAGACAAGTGCGGTGGTGTTTTCTTGTGTTCTGGGACTGAATTAGACAAGTACGGTGGTGTTTTCTTGTGTTCTGGGACTGAATTAGACAAGTACGGTGGTGTTTTCTTGTGTTCTGGGACTGAATTTGACAAGTACGGTGGTGTTTTCTTGTGTTGTGGGACTAAATTAGACAAACACGGTGGTGTTTTCTTGTGTTCTGGGACTGAATTAGACAAGTACGGTGGTGCTTTCTTGTGTTGTGGGACTAAATTAGACAAGTACGGTGGTGTTTTCTTGTATTCTGGGACTGAATTAAAAAGTACGGTGGTGTTTTCTTGTGTTCTGGGGCTGAATCAGACAAGTACGGTGGTGTTTTCTTGTATTCTGGGACTGAATTAAAAAGTACGGTGGTGTTTTCTTGTGTTCTGGGACTGAATCAGACAAGTACGTTGATGTTTTCTTGTGCTTGTAAAACTGTAAGATTGTATGGTTTTCCCGTCGTTTAATTAATTTTTCGCAGCCCACATCTTTATAAAGTAAACTTATACTTGACAAGTTTGTAACACCCGTGATAATTCTCGCAGCTTAAATCTGGATGTTTTCTAAATTTTGACATAAGTAGCTTGGTAAATGTTCCCAGATAATATCAGAATATTCTAATATAGGCCTAATAAATGAAAAATATATTGTTTGAAGATAATTTCTATCGAGAGTATTTTTAGGTTTCTTAATACAGGTATTCTTTGTGGCTTTTGTCATTTTATATCAATCAACACGTGTATTCCAGGTACCATCGTCTGATGACCACGCCCCTAAATGTTTATGGGATAATATTGGATACAAGGATGTTAGCCCTCTTTACAGATTGTAATTTTCTGTGTTAGTTTTTCTGCTTCTTAATAATGATTCTGTTTTTTCTGGGTTTATTCAAAAGATCATTATTAATAGTATTGTAGAGATGGTTGAGTTTTCGACGATTGTATTTAAGACCGTGTCATCAGCAAATAGTTACTTTACAGTCAATATCGTTCACTACATCATTAATATAAACAAGAAAAAAATATTTTACGGAGGTTGTAATGGGTTTACATCAATATTGATTGTTTATCTTCTGTATTTATCTATCATACTATCTTTTATAGTACAAAACTGTTGCTCTGTCTGGCTGTCGTTTAAAATGTCGAGATGAATGGTAAGGAAATTAAAAAAGAAATTGGAGACGGAGGTATGAAAATTGAATCAGAAGATGGAGACGGGGGTAAGAAAATTGAATCAGAAGATGGAGATGAGGTAAGACAATTGAACCAGAAGTTGGAGACGGGGGTAAGAAAATTGAATCAGAAGTTGGAGACGGGGGTAAGACAATTGAATCAGAAGATGGAGATGAGGTAAGACGATTGAACCAGAAGTTGGAGACGGGCGTAAGAAAATTGAATCAGAAGATGGAGACGGGGGTAAGAAAATTGAATCAGCAGTTGGAGACGGGGGTAAGAAAATTGAATCAGAAGATGGAGACGGGGGTAAGAAAATTGAACCAGACGTTGGAGACGGGGGTAAGAAAATTGAATCAGAACTTGGAGACGGGGGTAAGAAAATTGAATCAGCAGTTGGAGACGGGGGTAAGAAAATTGAATCAGAAGATGGAGATGAGGTAAGACAATTGAACCAGAAGTTGGAGACGGGGGTAAGAAAATTGAATCAGAAGATGGAGACGGGGGTAAGAAAATTGAATCAGAAGATGGAGACGGGGGTAAGAAAATTGAATCAGAAGATGGAGACGGGGGTAAGAAAATTGAACCAGACGTTGGAGACAGGGGTAAGAAAATTGAATCAGAAGTTGGAGACGGGGGTAAGAAAATTGAATCAGCAGTTGGAGACGGGGGTAAGAAAATTGAATCAGAAGTTGGAGACGGGGGTAAGACAATTGAATCAGAAGATGGAGATGAGGTAAGAAAATTGAATCAGAAGTTGGAGACGGGGGTAAGACAATTGAATCAGAAGTTGGAGACGGGGGTAAGAAAATTGAATCAGAAGATGGAGGTAAGAAAATTAAAAAAGAAATTGGATGCCGTATAACATAAACTAGCTACCGTTACACAGATCCACAATTGTTCCCTGGAGAAAGTCGTGGATCAATCTAAAACACACAAACACATATATAAAAGGAATATTTCTGGTTATTGATCCGAAACAGCTATTATTACATTTCAGAGAAACCTCTTCAGCAAAAGTATTTAAACACGTCTCCGAGAAAGACCATATGAAGAAAAATCTCCAGAGTGTTTCATCGCATGCAACGTACCATTAGATTGAGAACTGTCCTAGTGTATTTTCTACATGAAGAGTAGGCCTAACTGCATTGCGGACACGAGCTTATGAACAAATCACAATTATAGATCTGGTAAAAAAAATACAACCAGCAAGTAATCTTAATATTTAGATTGCTGGTACAAATCTTTATTACATTATTTCTCAATCTTGTTGAGTTCACTCCAATATTATACTAAAACAATTCAATTTAAACAAATAATTAAATTGTCATACAGCACAGAAGTATATCAAAACTGAAATCTACTAAACCACTTAAAATCTCATTTGATGCTGATGCTGCTGCGTGGTGTTTTTGCGGCTTTTCGTCAAAATTGCCACACTCTCCTCTGTTCCTCTATTAGTAACAACCTAAAACACTTCCGGTATATGACGTCACGGACGGATCGCCATATTTAGGATTGGCGAGGTGACTAACAAACGAAGGTATCTGGACTGTAGGATTTCTCATCTAAAGTGGAGTTAAAGATCTCAAACAACAACATTTGGATTGCTTCGTTTCCTTTGGTAAGTTGAAGAAGTTTTAGCTTTTCTTGGTTTGGTCAGGAATCACAGATATAAATACAGATGTATAGGACCCTGCCTACTGCTGAGAGGTTGAGGAAGCAGGTCACGGCAGGACAAACTTCAGTGTGTAAACAAGCTAGCCTTTGTTTTGTAAATGTGGATGACTTTCAGTATGCAGTAGTTACATTTCAGTTGATAACAATTAGACTGCTCAAAGTTGGTTGGTAAATGTTTGCTAGAACTTGTCGACCGCCGCTTACCCCCCCCCCCCCCCCCCCCCCCCCTTTCCACTTCCTCTCGGTATTCCTCACATAATATTGGCCAAAACTTCGACCGGACATGCTTCCGAGAGGTACACAGATGGTCAGTCAATCCACAAGTTTAACGAGTAATACACTGACTTTGTTCTGATCTCCCTAGCACCTGTTCAACTACATTTCTTGAATGTTGGCGTATAAATAGCCTATTAACTAATATGTATATAAAGTTTTACAAACAGATGCCTTACTAACCTACGGCAAATTCATAGGAACTCGTTAAAATTATTCTGATTTTCTCCTCTTTTTCTTACTCTCTAAAACTTCTCCATTTTACAAACATTCCCATTCTTCTCATGCTATGATAGGAATTTCCATTTTGTGTGAAAGGAGTGTGTATGTCTTATACTGTGAGTAGGTGTATATTTGAGTGTAGAATGATATGAGAATTATTTGCATAATTTTTTAATTTATATTTGTTACAAAAGACACACAAGTACATAATCAGGAAATCTTCATTTCTCATATGTATGATGATATCACTGTGAAAATAATCATGTCATTAAGTGTTAATGATGACTGTTGCATTTGTGTAAGAATGTGCAATATTGAGACAAATTTTATGCTTAATTTGTCTGTAATAATTTTATAACAAGTGTTAAAATATATGTACTTTGTAGCATTTTTCATTAGCTTGATTGGCTAGGCAGTTGATTATGAGGTCATGATATGGACAATTTAATATTACCATGCAAATTAATCACAAATTGCAGAAGAAAATGTTTTATTTTGTCCTTCACACTTTTGCATCTTGACGTTTAGTTTTAACCCGGTCAGAGTTAAACTTTTCTAAGTGATGTGATGAAAAGTATATGAGATTTGTTTTCTTTTCATATGCTTGAGATTTTATGAAACTTATTTTGAGTTTTCAATTTTTTTCGTCTAGACATGAATGCAAAATAAAACATTCAAATACTTGTTTCATGAAATCTCATATGAAATGAAAAAGATATGACATGGAATATATGTAAAGATTGTTCCAAACCAAAAAGAGAGTTCAGGTAGGTAAGTCTAATTATACAGGTAGGCTTAACAATAAGAAAACATTGTACATAAGTCTAAAGATAAATAGCTGTAAGCCTAATGTATATAGGTCATAAATACAGGTATATAGGACTAAATTTAGTTACAGACCTAAATCTTAATAAATTCCTTCATGATCCCATCAACGACAGAAGGTTTATTATTATAAAAGGATTGAAAATCCCGTCCCCAATGTTTAAATGTGCCACAATTCAATCGCTGTAGGTGATGAAGTTCCAAATACACAGCATCACTTTTGTGTTCATCATTTTTGTCGGCCACGTGTGTCAAGTTTTATGCAAATCACTGTCAAAAGACCGTGTCTACTCTACAGTATACCATACTGTTTACCTGTTTGATGTGTGTACACACGTCATATAACAACAATACTGATGGTGCCTGGTGCCTGTGTCCGTTATCAAATGTAGAATGACACTAATTAATACCTAATCTACAATTACTGCAGTAAACACATCAATGAATCCAAACCAAAACCGATCATGCTAATACTGCGCAGTGTCCCTGTAGGCGTCAGTGATTGGTTAAGAAGTCCGCATGTTAGAATGGTAAACCAATCAAATATCTTGTAGCTTAATTATTTCGGCAAGCAAGAAGGTAGACAGGTAATTTACCTGCTGGCCACGAAACTGTAGGGGGTGTTATCATGGTCATCTCAGTTAAGGGACAAGTAGGTGTCAAGACTCCGGGTCTAATTACCATATGGAAAAGGGTTGGGAGGATAATAAATATGTCATGGCTAAATTAATAACGGCAAGGGGCTGATGCGTACGGCCAAAATTACATGCATAACGGTACCATCATGCTAAAACGGCCTGGGGAGAACACTGAAAACTGTATTGATATGCTCTAATGAAGTCCTCTCTCAGATGTAACTGGTCAGCATATTAGTAAAGTTTTAATAATAATAATAATAATAAAGCACCTTTAACAGAGTACGTCATGTTGTGATTGCATTTCCTTGTTGATATGTCTGAATCATATGCAATCACCCTGCATACTTGAAAGTATCCATGCCTAGACAACAAACCTGATACACCACCACGAAGAAGCAAGGCGTTGGCTCCTCTCTCTACCTTTTATTTTTTAACTTAACTTATTATATTGCTACTGTATTGCCATTAGCACATAACAATCTTTATTACATGTACATAGAGTAGTAATTTAAATCTTCGATATGGAAACACCTATATGTTTGTTCTGATGACCACTAGCCTAGCTAGCTGAAACATATACATAACATACATATTTTCTGTACTGCACCAATTGTCAACACGGACCAACCTGTGAAAAAGGCTAAAATGAAACAATCACCAATTGTATCCAACTCCAGAGATCCAACTGTTGTAGACAGTACTACCAGTATTATCACCTGTATGTCGGACGATTATGTGGTTCATTTTCCAGCATGCAGAACTCACATGTAAACTCTGTCAATGCAACTGATCTATATTGTCATCACTGTATTGTCAGTGTCACATGATATAAGCAATTGTAATTATGTCACGACTGAGTCGTAATTTTTATTTTATCTATGCAGATATTTTTACCTTTGTTCTGATGACGACTAGCCTTGCTAGCCAAAACATGTCAACTTATATTAAAACCACAGAATCCAGATGTTGATGCTCCATCTTCAAAGTCATTTGTGTTTACCTTCCTTGATGGGGCTGTATTTGGGCTGTATTGAATACTATTGGGTATCCATTTTCTATTCCTTATGATTCGATTGACAACCGAAGACAACCAGGACGTAAGCTCTCTCCCACTCCATTAGGAATTTTTTTTATTTTAGCTAAATAAGTTTTAATATACGATAGACATAGTTTTGGGTTCCATTGACATAATTAACATTGTCGCACAGACGAATGTCATTGTTCAGGTGATATTATAGATCTAAATTACATACTAGCATTTCTACATGGATCATTAGTGATGAGAATTGGTCAAGTATTCAAGATCTCAGATGATCTGAGCTCCACAGTGGATAATCAAATATCAGTGGAAATGTGGATCAGAAGGAAGATTGGTGAAATAGAGCTTAGTACAATGAATACAAACAACAAGTTCAAGATTGTAATTACTGACGTGCTGTGTGTATTTTTATGTTATATCAGTCAAGGAAATAGATCTTAGTACAATCAATAAAAACACAACAAAGTCAGACTTTTAATTACTGACGTGCTGTGTGTATTATTGTGTTACATCAGTCAAGGAAATAGATCTTAGTACAATCAATAAAAACACAACAAAGTCAGACTTTTAATTACTGACGTGCTGTGTGTATTATTGTGTTACATCAGTCAAGGAAATAGATCTTAGTACAATCAATAAAAACACAACAAAGTCAGACTTTTAATTACTGACGTGCTGTGTGTATTATTGTGTTACATCAGTCAAGGAAATAGATCTACGTCGACCAATATTTTTTTCATATGGAGACATTCAAAAGAGGAGCTTACCTCGTTTAGTGAATCTACGCTCATAGAAAGGTCACGTATGTGACCTTTATTATTGTATACACGTCATAATATAATGTGCCCATATTTTTAGTACTTTAGGGGGAAAATTTTCACTATTTCGATGTCCTGTTGAAGCCCAAATAGTTCGGGTGAAACCGGTCGACGTAGATCGAATACACCTAATACACACTTATCCTGAGCTTGTTGCGATTGATAATTGCTTTGTTTTGTCCTATTCCTCAATCGCCCTGCATACCGGGTGGTATCCAAGCCAGGGATATCAGGAAAACCCCTACCTACACCTAGCACCACGGCATTGGCTCTCATCCTTGTTATCTCGGAAATAGATCTTAGTACTGTCAATAAAATAGGAAATAGATATACAAAATTTTAAATGTTTGTTGTATATTACAGAAACTGTTCTAATTGGGAAGCAGTAAAAAAATTCGAATATTATTAAAATAATCATGAATCTTGTTATCTGTGGTTACATGAATACGTGTAAGATGTTACCGGAAAACAAAAGTGAAACAGTGATCTGGACGTAAACAGAAGTGAAACAGTGATCTGGACGTAAACAAAAGTGAAACAGTGATCTGGACGTAAACAAAAGTGAAACAGTGATCTGGACGTAAACAAAAGTGAAACAGTGATCTGGACATAAACAAAAGTGAAACAGTGATCTGGACGTAAACAATAGTGAAACAGTGATCTGGACATAAACAAAAGTGAAACAGTGATCTGGACGTAAACAAAAGTGAAACAGTGATCTGGACGTAAACAAAAGTGAAACAGTAATCTGGACATAAACAAAAGTGAAACAGTGATCTGGACGTAAACAAAAGTGAAACAGTGATCTGGACAGAAAAACAAAAGTGAAACAGTGATCTGGACGTAAACAAAAGTGAAACAGTGATCTGGATGTAAACAAAAGTGAAACAGTGATCTGGACGTAAACAAAAGTGAAACAGTGATCTGGACGTAAACAAAAGTGAAACAGTGATCTGGATGTAAACAAAAGTGAAACAGTGATCTGGACAGGAAAACTAAAGTGAAACAGTGATCTGGATGTAAACAAAAGTGAAACAGTGATCTGGACGTAAACAAAAGTGAAACAGTGATCTGGACGTAAATAAAAGTGAAACAGTGATCTGGACGTAAACAAAAGTGAAACAGAGATCTGGACGTAAACAAAAGTGAAACAGTGATCTGGACGTAAACAAAAGTGAAACAGTGATCTGGACGTAAACAAAAGTGAAACAGTGATCTGGACGTAAACAAAAGTGAAACAGTGATCTGGACGTAAACAAAAGTGAAACAGTGATCTGGACGTAAACAAAAGTGAAACAGTGATCTGGACGTAAACAACAGAACAGCACTGACATTGATTACATTACTACATAAATGGACTAGAGGAATAGACTTTAGAAATCCAATTTTGGCGTATAATAGCTGAACAGGCCTTGTTTTGTGCTAAATTACCAATAATTATGAGTAGTTATGTCTGATTATATGACAATCGTGGCGAGACAATCAACATTGAGGAATATTCATTACATTTATAATGTACAGCATACACATGATTCAGGGTGGAAAATCACAACATGAATTGTTTTCTAGAACAAAACATTTATCCCAAATGAGTAACAAATTTACTGTTTTAGTACTACATGTAATGAGCACTTTTGCCAATATTTCAAAAAAAACTGGGTGATGTGTTATCTGTGACTTCAATCTTTGTTTCGTCCTGAGGTAAGTTAGAGGAATTCTGGGTATGAAATTAATGTACTTCTACATATAAAAACAAAAATACTCCCTAATGCCAAACAGTGGTATGTGAAATTCCTTTGTAGTAAAATGATCTTTTTTTAATATCAATCATCATTAAATAAGAAAACATTTCCCTTTAAATAGTTCGGCATAATTCTGTTGTACTACATGCACAGCTTCCTGAAATTACCTACTGGTGCATTATAGCTGATAAACTTCTAAATCTGTTCAGATGTGTTGGTTATGTTGGTCCAGGAAGACTCCTACATAGTAAACTCTATGGAAATAATTTTGTGTTTTACACATTATGAAATCAGACGGATGTGTCGTTGAATATGTCACTCTATCTAAGCCTGTCTTTTACAGATCTTCATCATGAAATTTGCTGCTGTGGCTGTTTTGGCCACATTACCTTTCATCCTGGCTGTCTCTCCAGACCCTCAAGTACCTGCAAACCCAGGTGCCCTGAGTAAGTATGATATCACCAGACCCATAAGTTTTCACAACTCCAGTCACCTAGAGTGATGTCTTCAAACCCAGATGTACCTGTACAAAGACCCCTGGTTCCCTATACCTATATGTTAATAAGCTAAGGCTCAGTACTGTTGTATAGAAAAAGACCCAGATTTGGTTTGACACTTCTACACATGTAACGTTGTATTTTTACTTCAGAGACTTCCTTCCTAGGTACAGGTGAGACAAGCACAAGTCGTAACAAATATATCGTCTTAGCCAGCTTCCAAGATAAATCTCATTATTGCCATTAACACTTCATTAACATAAATCTCCTGAAAGTTGTAGTTTCATGTTAAATGTGAAGGAACTGAATTTATTTTGAATGCTATACAAAAGTATTGCAACCAAGGTTGATTTGTTTGTGGATAATTAGTGTGGAAACAATTGTCTGACACACAACCTGTATGATAAGTTGTAAATACAAAAAACAAAACGTAAGTATTTTACTACATAGTAAAACAAAAGACTTATATCATGTAAGTTAGTGCCATGTGTCACAGTATACAAAGTTATACAAAAAACCTATACAAAGGTTTTCGTCATATGTTACAGTATACAAAGTTATACAAAAGCCAAATATAAATATCGCCATATTTTACCATATAGTCATACAAAAGACTTATATAACGTAAGTTAAAGCCAAATATTACAGTATACAAAGTTATACGGAAAACTAACAATAAATATCGCCTTATATTATTGTATACAAAGTCTAATGAAAAACTTATATAATGTAAGTAAAAGCCAAATATTACAGTATACAAAGTTAAACAAAAGACTAAACATAAGTATCACCTTATGTTACTGTGTACAAAGTTAAAAAAAAGACTAAACAGAAGTTATCACCTTATGTTACTTTGTACAAAGTTATAAGAAAAACTAAACATAAGTATCACCTTATGTTACTGTGTACAAAGTTAAACAAAAGACTAAACAGAAGTTATCACCTTATGTTACTTTTTACAAAGTTATAAGAAAAACTAAACATAAGTATCACCTTATGTTACTGTGTACAAAGTTAAAAAAAAGACTAAACAGAAGTTATCACCTTATGTTACTGTGTACAAAGTTAAACAAAAGACTAAACAGAAGTTATCACCTTATGTTACTTTGTACAAAGTTATACGAAAGACTAAACATAAGTATCATTTTATGTTACTGTGTACAAAGTTAAACAAAAGACTAAACAGAAGTTATCACCTTATGTTACTTTTTACAAAGTTATAAGAAAAACTAAACATAAGTATCACCTTATGTTACTGTGTACAAAGTTAAAAAAAAGACTAAACAGAAGTTATCACCTTATGTTACTGTGTACAAAGTTATACGAAAGACTAAACATAAGTATCATTTTATGTTACTGTGTACAAAGTTAAAAAAAAGACTAAACAGAAGTTATCACCTTATGTTACTTTGTACAAAGTTATACGAAAGACTAAACATAAGTATCATTTTATGTTACTGTGTACAAAGTTATACGGAAGACTTAAACAGAAAATATCACCTTATGTTACTGTGTACAAAGTTATACGGAAGACTAAACATAAGTATCATTTTATGTTACTGTGTACAAAGTTATATGAAAGACTAAACATAAGTATCATTTTATGTTACTGTGTACAAAGTTATATGAAAGACTAAACAGAAGTTAGCACCTTATGTTACTGTGTACAAAGTTATACGAAAGATTAAACAGAAGTATCACCTTATGTTACTGTGTACAAAGTTATATGAAAGACTTAAACAGAAGTTATCACCTTATGTTACTGTGTACAAAGTTATACGAAAGACTAAACAGAAGTTAGCACCTTATGTTACTGTGTACAAAGTTATACGAAAGATTAAACAGAAGTATCACCTTATGCTGTATGCATATGACCACCTGAACATCATTGTATATATAGATATGGTATACAAGCCTAAACATAAGTGTATGGTATGTATTGGGCAAAAATATTTCAGATTTTGTAGACAGAGTTCGTACTGCTGGTCCGAATATCTTTGGCCAAATATTGTCTGGTCATGTTTATTTGCCTGTCAGAATATTCCTGATTTTGTAGGTACTGTTCGTTCTGCCAGTCAGAACATCTGTACCTTCCAGCTTGCCTCAATATCTATTCATCTGCCTTTTTCACAGACAAGGGTAGTCTGACCGTAGACCAAGCCAATCCATGTATTGAGGCAGACACTTGTGGCTCTTGTATGGAGAAAGGCAAAGACTGTGCCTTCTGTACAGCTACGGTAAGTAGGACAAAAATATCAGATGCTTGTTTATGGAGAAAAGCTTTCTTTACGTCTACGGTAAATAAGACAAAAATGACAGACACTTGTGGCTTGTCTTAGAAGAAGGGCAAGAATTTGGCCTTGTGGCTCATAATAGAAGGAGAGCAAGGATTTTCATTTCTATATATGGATAAAGTAAGTTGGATAAAAGCTTTGCTTTTTAAAAAGAATTTGTAAAATAACAAGGAAATGTCATGTATTTCTAACAAATCCTCCAGTCATACTATCAAAGTGCAAATGTAGGCGATATTGTTTGCTTCATTAGAAATATTCAAATACGTTTTGTTACAGTTTTATGACAAGGAAAATCTGCCCCGCTGTGATCTGAAGTCTAACCACATCAAGAGGAATTGTCAAGGAGAAGATTTGTATGCTCCAGACAGTGACCTCACACCTATTAGGGTAAGTCCATTGATTCTTAATGCTACTGCTGTATGTGTGAAGTGCCAGCCCTATATGTCGGAATGACCTATAGGTATATGTTATAGCCATCATGTTTATAGGTCACTGGGGTCAAATGTGTCTAAATGTTTAAACAACTTCTTCTCAATAACCAAAAGGCCCAGGGTGCTGATATTGGTTCTGTGGCATGCTTGGTTGAAGAACTGCCAAATTTGTGAAAATGAATGCCCTTGACCTTGACCCACTTCCAGGGTCATAGGGCTAGCAACTTAAGATCTTCAAATGACATTTTTAGGTCATCTGACATGAAGGGTCAAGATGACCTATAGTCATCGTGGTGTGTTATGCAATTTTTTTTCTTCAAAACCCACTACTCTTTCATACCAAGATGGATTTCAGCCAAATTTGGTTTGATGCATCATTGGGTGAGGGTCATTTCTTGAATTCAGAATTTTGATTTGACCTCAAGGACCTGGGATCTGGGCCCAAACATGGAAAATAAGACAATATTTTGCTTCAAAATGCTAATCCGAAAGTTGAATCAACACCTAGGGACTTGGGGGCAGGGCCCAAAAGGGGAAGTTAGACAACATTTTGCTTCAAAATGTTACTCTCAGGCTGTCCAGCGTCCCTAAAATTCTTAAAAAATCCCAATTTTTTTTAGTTTTGCTAAAATTCCCCCCCAAAAAATGAAAAATTCAAAGGGATTTCCTAAAAAAGCCCTAATTTTTCACTTCAGTTCCTACTTTTTTTTATATTTCTTACAATTTACTGAAAATGTTTTCATTAAATTCATACTTAAAATGTATTTTAATGTAGTCTGTAGTTCTAATTCAGGGTAGACAATGAAACGCAGTTGACCAGTGGATCTATGTACCCAGATTGTTATTGGTTGTGACTGAGGACAGAGGTGTGATTCTTAAGGTCACAGCCAACAGCAGCTGGGACACTAAAACCCTGGAAGACACCTTTCCTGCAATTAAGGCATTGTATGTTAGTTTCTATTTTGTCAAATTTGCACAGGTAAGTCAGCTTAATGCTTTCATAATTCCTATTCTAGTTACAAAATTCCTAATTTTAGCCTAAATTTGCCCTAAAATTAGCCCTAATTTTTTGTCAAGAAGTGCTGGACAGCCTGTACTCTTTCTTAATACTTGAATGAATTTAGTCTAAAACATCATGGAAAGTGGGGAATCATTTCCTTAATTCAGAAAGTTTATTGACCCCTAGCTAATAGTAATGACCTTGATCCACTTGAAAGGTCACAGGGATCAAATGTGTTGAAATGCTTAAGCAACTATCTCTCAATACACAAAAAGCCGGGGATGATGATATTAGGCCTGTTGCATGCTAGGATGTAGGGCTACCAACTTTGTTAATATGAATGATATTGACCCACTTTCAGAGTCATAGGTTTTAAATGTGTAAAAATGTTTGAATTACTTCTTCTCAAAAACCAAAAGGCCCAGGGTGTTGATATTTGACTAACTTTCAAGGTCACATGGGTCAATATGTTGAAAAGCTTAGCAACTTTTTTCCATTAACCGAAAGGCCAAGGGTCTTGATATTGGGCCTGAAGCTTGCTGTTTCATCAAACAATATGTCTAGAGTGATGGCAATTGTATAGTGCATGTATAAAGAATATGACTTCAAGTTTGCAGAAAATGTCTTGATGAACTAACCAGTGTCTTCGATGTAAGCTGTAGAGTAGTTGATCAATTTATTTTAGGCCTATTTGGCCTATATAGGTCTTTATAGTCAGGTGACCATTAAGGCACATGGGCCGCTTGTCTTAATAACCGAACTGTCACTCCTATTCAATATCGATATTTGTTCTTTTACATGATTGGATGAAGGACTGACAAGTTTATTCAAATAATTGACCTTGACTGACTTTCAAGGTCACTGGTGTCAAAGATATTGAGAATTTCAAATCTCTTCTTTCAACAAGCAATTGGTCATGGGTCATGGTATTTGTGTAGTAGCATGCTTGAGAAATAGGATTTCAAGTTTACAGAAATTGATTTAATGAACTGACAATGTCTTCTGTGTAAGCAGTCAAACAGAATCAGGCCCATCGAGCCTCTATTATTCGTGGAATATACTCATTTCTAAAATTTCAATAGGTTAAATTTGACAAACAAGATGTAAAATTGGTATGGCATATATAAGTGTGAAAATGCTTCTCTTTTTTAGGATGATAATGTGAGAAATGGAGGAGAAAATATTGATGTTGAACCAGCCATTCAGATTCAACCTCAGGAATTAAGGCTGAAAATTAGACCAAGTAAGTTTGATATAATGTATTGTTGTCATTACCGATCAAGAGCTGATGAGAAAATTGATTTTAACTTCCTCGATGTAGGCTGAATCAGTATCATAGGTCAGCATAGGAGAAATAGCTGAAAGTATGAAATTGTTTCTATGTAACTTTTGAGACAAGTTCACAATTCCTAATTAATTTGCTTGCTTTATCTTATGAATGATGAGATTTTCAAGATTTGTCCTATGATTGCAATCTGTCTATACCTACTAAAGGTATCTTCTTCAGGTGTAATCAATTAAAGGATTCGACCTATTGATAGGTTTCATCTTACCCCTAATTATCAATATGTTGTTAACATCAGGTTGAAAAAAAAATAATGTAATAAGTTTGTCTCTTATAAATCATTTATAATGGGATCGACTCGAAAGGTTTTTTTTATAACAATAACAGTCCACATGTTATCCACATGTTGTCCACGGAACTTTGATTCAAAATATTGCAAGTGACTGTTTTAAACTCTTGTTAACTTAATTAATTCAACAATGCTATTTATGATTAAACAGTTTGTGGACAAATGAATTGTTGGGATAAGATTAAATACAAAAATCAATAACAATATATCTGCTACAGAAAATGGCTTGTTTGTTTCGCATATCATATCTTTTAGACTAAATGGAAGAATTAATAATTTTTATGTATTTTTGTTGCAATTTATTCATTAATTACTGCAGGGTTTTCCATAATTTTAGTAGTAGGCTGTGTAGTGAAAGTAGGAGGCTGACCTGCCGTGTATGTGTAGTCATGTACGGAACATTATTACGGAACTGGATTGGTGTAGGCGGCCAAATGATCAAAGTAGCCGGTCAAATTGGCCGGAAACTGGCTCTTATGGAAAACCCAGTACTAACAAACAACTTTGAAGAAAAGGTCAAATTGATTTGCCAGTTGGTATGCACTATATGTATATTCCTTGGTTTGTAGATGACCCACAGAAGTTTAAATTGACATTCCGTCTGGCAGAGGATTATCCTGTGGACCTGTATTACCTCATGGACTTGTCATACTCTATGAAGGATGACAAGGAACGACTTGCATTACTTGGCACTGATATTGGTAACCAGCTCAGTTCTTGTCACCTGCTTATATCTAGATGCTTTCCTTCATCATTAGTGTAGTAAAAATTTTGATGTCCTACTACTCAGAAATAGCTGATCCATGTCTGAAGGGAGAAATATCTAAATACCTGAGTCAGTGACAGATCTGTGATTTTAGCTGTAAATACCTGAAACAGTGAGAGATCTGTGATTTTAGTTCCAAATACCTGAGACAGTGACAGATCTGTGATTTTAGCTGTAAATACCTGAAACAGTGAGAGATCTGTGATTTTAGTTCCAAATACCTGAGACAGTGACAGATCTGTGATTTTAGCTTAAAAGACTTAAGTCAGTGACAGATCTGTGATTTTAGCTGTAAATACATTAGTCAGTGACAGATCTGTGATTTTAGCTGTAAATACATTAGTCAGTGACAGATCTGCCACTTAAGTTCCAATTACCTGAGATATTGACAGACCTGTGAGTTTAGCTCTAAATTCCAGAGACAGTGACAGATCTGTGATTTTAGCTGTAAAAGTAAATACTTTAGCTGTAAATACCTTAGTCAGTGACAGATCTGTGATTTTAGCTGTAAATACCTTAGTCATTGACAGATCTGTGATTTAGACTTAAAATACCTGAAACAGCGACAGATCTGTGATTTTAGCTGTAAATACCCATGTCAGTGACAGATCTGTGACTTAGGCTTAAACTACTCAAAACAGTGACAGACCTGTGATTTTAGTTCGAAATACCTGAGACAGTGATAGATCTGTGACTTAAGTTCCAAATACCTGAGATATTGACAGACCTGTGACTTAAGAAATGAATGCTTGACTCAGTCACAGGCTGATTGTAGTATTTATATAAATATACTAATGTATAAAATCATTATTAATGTTTGCAGCGAACAAGATGAAGGGTATCACCAAGAACTTCCAGCTTGGCTTTGGTTCCTTTGTAGACAAAGTAGTGATGCCATACGTGAGCACTGCTCCCTCTAAGTAAGTACTTCACGAAGAGTTGTCTCCCCTTAGATACCTTTAGGTCTCATTAGATAATCTGAAGTTTATTAATATCAAGTTTTAATAATTAAAAGAGAATTTATTGATGGATTACCATCTAGAGTGAGAACATGTCTGTAAAGTTTCTTGATTGAATGTGTGTGGTTGGTAGTTTCGAAGTACAAATCAGGTTTGTTTTACTATATAGACAGATGCTTGACACAAGTCTGCAATCTATATATTTCTTTAATACACAGTCACATAATTTACTTTATAGACAGATGCTGGACACACAAGTCTGAAATCTATATATTTCTTTAATACACAGTCACATAATTTACTTTATAGACAGATGCTGGACACACAAGTCTGAAATCTATATATTTCTTTAATACACAGTCACATAATTTACTTTATAGACAGATGCTGGACACACAAGTCTGCAATCTATATATTTCTTTAATACACAGTCACATAATTTACTTTATAGACAGATGCTGGACACACAAGTCTGCAATCTATATATTTCTTTAATACACAGTCACATAATTTACTTTATAGACAGATGCTGGACACACAAGTCTGCAATCTATATATTTCTTTAATACACAGTCACATAATTTACTTTATAGACAGATGCTGGACACACAAGTCTGAAATCTATATATTTCTTTAATACACAGTCACATAATTTACTTTATAGACAGATGCTGGACACACAAGTCTGAAATCTATATATTTCTTTAATACACAGTCACATAATTTACTTTATAGACAGATGCTGGACACACAAGTCTGAAATCTATATATTTCTTTAATACACAGTCACATAATTTACTTTATAGACAGATGCTGGACACACAAGTCTGCAATCTATATATTTCTTTAATACACAGTCACATAATTTACTTTATAGACAGATGCTGGACACACAAGTCTGCAATCTATATATTTCTTTAATACACAGTCACATAATTTACTTTATAGACAGATGCTTGACACAAGTCTGCAATCTATATATTTCTTTAATACACAGTCACATAATTTACTTTATAGACAGATGCTGGACACACAAGTCTGAAATCTATATATTTCTTTAATACACAGTCACATAATTTACTTTATAGACAGATGCTTGACACAAGTCTGCAATCTATATATTTCTTTAATACACAGTCACATAATTTACTTTATAGACAGATGCTGGACACACAAGTCTGAAATCTATATATTTCTTTAATACACAGTCACATAATTTACTTTATAGACAGATGCTGGACACACAAGTCTGAAATCTATATATTTCTTTAATACACAGTCACATAATTTACTTTATAGACAGATGCTGGACACACAAGTCTGCAATCTATATATTTCTTTAATACACAGTCACATAATTTACTTTATAGACAGATGCTGGACACACAAGTCTGTAATCTATATATTTCTTTAATACACAGTCACATAATTTACTTTATAGACAGATGCTGGACACACAAGTCTAAAGTTTAATATTTCTGTTATACACAGCTGTATAATTTACTATATAGACAGATGCTGGACACACAAGTCTAAAGTTTAATATTTCTGTTATACACAGCTGTATAATTTACTATATAGACAGATGCTGGACACACAAGTCTAAAGTTTAATATTTCTGTTATACACAGCTGTATAATTTACTATATAGACAGATGCTGGACACACAAGTCTAAAGTTTAATATTTCTGTTATACACAGCTGTATAATTTACTATATAGACAGATGCTGGACACACAAGTCTAAAGTTTAATATTTCTGTTATACACAGCTGTATAATTTACTATATAGACAGATGCTTGTCACACAAGTCTAAAGTTTAATATTTCTGTTATACACAGCTGTATAATTTACTATATAGACAGATGCTGGACACACAAGTCTAAAGTTTAATATTTCTGTTATACACAGCTGTATAATTTACTATATAGACAGATGCTGGACACACAAGTCTAAAGTTTAATATTTCTGTTATACACAGCTGTATAATTTACTATATAGACAGATGCTGGACACACAAGTCTAAAGTTTAATATTTCTGCTATACACAGCTGTATAATTTACTATATAGACAGATGCTGGACACACAAGTCTAAAGTTTAATATTTCTGTTATACACAGCTGTATAATTTACTATATAGACAGATGCTTGTCACACAAGTCTGATATCTATATATTTTTTTTTTATGGTACACTGCAATTAATCTGCACACATTTGTACATAGCATGTACCTATATTCCTGACCTTGTACACAAATTTACCTTCCTATTGAACCAGATCTATCTGTAGTTTATTGGAAATTATTTCCTGAAAAAAATATTCAGTTCATATAACATTATGATCTTCCAGGTACATTGATATTTACATATAAATAAATTTGAAGCAACCTGCATGTCTTATATCAGTATTTCTAGTATTTGTGAGTTTTGTGTTCCGTCTATAGATGAATGAAGAATTTGAGATGCTGCATTTTGTTTAGTTTCTCCTTTGTTTTGCATTGTGAAAATTTTTCCTTTTGTGGAACTTTCCTGTTTTTTTTTTAATTTGACTTTCAGATTCTTTGTTTGTGCTTTTTAAGATTAAGGCTTTATACTTCACCAGAGAATCATCATCAAATTTTCAAGGAATTTTCTATGATTTTAATGAAATACCAAATATCCATGATTTTGCGAAAATCATATCAGGGATTTTGATAAAAATTCAAAAAAAAAAAACCCCAATTGTTTAGTTGTTTGGTTTTAGTGTTCTGTGTGTTGTGTTCTGTGTGTTGATTTAGTGTTAACATAGTTCAGTAGCTCCTGACGATAAGAAAATCAAGTCATACCATGAAAATTTGCTGATCTATGGTGAAGTATGCTTGTCCCACTGTACCGCCTGGAAACCTGTACTAAATATATATTATACTGTAAGCTGGAATAAGATGGCAATATTAACTTTGTTATTTAAAACAGAAAATACTGAAATACGGTATAGCTGGTTACTTTCGTGGGGATATTTTTGCTCTTTTTTTAAGCATTAGTGGTGAGGGGGGGCGGTTGGGGGTTGGTTGGGAATTTGATCTCTGAAAAATAAGTCGTGTAAATAGTATCAGCAATTTATAAACTTAAAACTTAGAACTTGCCTTATCATTTTTGTCACTAACGAGCTCGGCCATGTCTCAGTATCAGCCATGTTTAAACCATCTGTCACTAATGAGCTCAGCCATGTCTGAGTATCAGCCACGTATAAACCATCTGTCACTTACAGGCTCAGCAATGTCTCAGTATCAACCACGTATAAACCATCTGTCACTTACAGGCTCAGCCATGTCTCAGTATTAGCCAGTTATAAACCGTCAGTCACTAACGAGCTCAGCCATGTCTCAGTATCAGCCATATATAAACCGTCTGTCACTTACAGGCTCAGCAATGTCTCAGTATCAACCCCGTATAAACCGTCTGTCACTAACGAGCTCAGCCATGTCTCAGTATCAGCCCCGTATAAACCGTCTGTCATGAACGGGCTCAGGTATGTCTCAGTATCAGCCACGTATAAACCGTCTGTCACTAACGGGCTCAGCAATGTCTCAGTATCAGTGACATATAAACCGTCTGTCACTTACAGGCTCAGGTATGTCTCAGTATCAGCCACGTATAAACCGTCTGTCATGAACAGGCTCGGCCATGTCTCAGTATCAGCCAGGTATAAACCATCTGTCACTTACAGGCTCAGCCATGTCTCAGTATCAGCCAGGTATAAACCATCTGTCACTTACAGACTCAGCCATGTCTCAGTATCAGCAAGGTATAAACCATCTGTCTCGAACGAGCTCAGCCATGTCTCAGGATCAGCCACGTATAAACCATGTCACTTACAGGCTCAACAATGTCTCAGTATCAACTCCGTATAAACCGTCTATCACTAACGAACTCAGCAATGTCTCAGTATCAGCCACATATAAACCGTCTGTCACTAACGGGCTCAGCCATGTCTCAGTATCAGCCACGTATCAACCGTCTGTCATGAACGGGCTCAGCCATGTTTCAGTATCAGCCAGGTATAAACCATCTGTCACTTACAGGCTCAGCCATGTCTCAGTATCAGCCACGTATAAACCATCTGTCTCGAACGAGCTCAGCCATGTCTCAGTATCAGCCACGTATAAACCATCTGTCACTTACAGGCTCAGCCATGTCTCAGTATTAGCCAGTTATAAACCGTCTGTCACTAACGAGCTCAGCCATGTCTCAGTATCAGCCATGTATAAACCGTCTGTCACTTACAGGCTCAGCAATGTCTCAGTATCAACCCCGTATAAACCGTCTGTCACTAACGAACTCAGCAATGTCTCAGTATCAGCCACGTATAAACCGTCTGTCATGAATGGGCTCAGCCATGTCTCAGTATCAGCCACGTATAAATCATCTGTCACTAACGAGCTCAGCCATGTTTGAGTATCAGCCATGTATAAACCATCTGTCACTTACAGGCTCAGCCATGTCTCAGTATCAGCCATGTATAAACCATCTGTCACTAACGAGCTCAGCAATGTCTCAGTATCAGCCATGTATAAACCATCTGTCACTAACGAACTCAGCCATGTCTCAGTATCAGCCATGTATAAACCATCTGTCACTAACGAGCTCAGCAATGTCTCAGTATCAGCCACGTATAAACCATCTGTCACTAACGGGCTCAGCCATGTCTCGGTATCAGCCACGTATAAACCATCTGTCACTTACGGGCTCAGCCATGTCTCAGTATCAGCCACGTATAAACCGTCTGTCACTAACGAGCTCAGCCATGTCTCAGTATCAGCCAGGTTTAAACTGTCTGTCTCGAACGAGCTCAGCCATGTCTTAGTATCAGCTACGTATAAACCGTCTGTCACTAAAGAGCTCAGCCATGTCTCAGTATCAGCCCCGTATAAACCGTCTGTCACTTACAGGCTCAGGTATGTCTCAGTATCAGCCACGTATAA